GGCCCTGGCCCTGGAGAGAATTCATATCGCACTACCCTTTAACAAATTATCACTGGGGACACAGCAAGGACCAGGACGACCCAGTTTCTGACTTGAGCAGCTCCTCATTGGATGGGGAATCCAACAGTAATATCCCAGTGTGATCAGAGAGACTGGACACACAGTCTTGTGGGAGTCTAGAGAAGCAGGGGGGGACCTCTCCAGAGGAGGCTGGAGGGCTTCCCAGAGGAGGAGGATTGTGAGCTGAGGCCCAAAGTATGCACAGAACTCAGCCAGGGCAAGGGTATTCTTGGTAGAGACTACAGCCTGGCAGAGGACTGAGGCTGTCTTGGGAGACAGAGTGTGGGAGTAGAATGTGCAATGGGTGGGCCATTGGGCCTCTGATAGCTCTGAAGGCAGGACACAGAGACTTGGGAGGGGCAAGGTGACATGCTGACAGCAGGTGGAATGTCACCTGTTTGTGTTTCACAGAAAATTCACTGTCCTTGGGGTTGGGTTTGAGGGTTTTCTTTGGAAACCCCAGGACTGGGTGAGGCCTTGTATGCTTGAGTCAGCCCAGGATGGAGAGAGAGGACAGGTGAGGACAAGAAGTCACTTGGGCACAAATTGTACCAGAAGCTCAGTGGCCATTTGGTGTCTGGTGGGTGCCAAGCACTGTCTTTCTCCATTTGTCCCTCATGGGAGTGCCCTGAAAAACTCCCAGATCTGTCCTCTGGGTTCAACTGCTAGCCCTGTCATTTATTATCTGTATGACCTCCCCACCCTTTACCTGCTCATCTGTAAAATGGGATCAACATAAAACCTGCTTCATAGAGATGCTGTAAGGACCAAATGAGTTAAAGCATTTAAAACACCCGGACAGTGCCTGACCACCTCCCCCCAAGCAAGTGTACAATAAGCATTAGCTATCATTATTACTTGACATGATTTTCTTTCTAATCTTTTCAAGGATTTAAACATCACTTATCTAATGCTTGTTACATACCAAGGATTGTATTTATCCTCTGAAAATGGGGGTGAATACAACATAGTCCTCCTAAAGATACAGAAATCGTGAGTAAAGGCAATAACAAACAAACACTGATCAAATGTGCCCTGTACCAGAAACCCAGACACGCATGAGAGCTGGTTCCTGTCCTTGGGAAGGTCGCAGGCTGACTAGGGAGAGAGAGAAGTGGCCCAGATTGGGTGGGGGCTGAGAGAAGCCTGGAGAACCTCTGGTAGGGGTTTTTTCGAGAGATGAGTTGCCCACTTTGGCAGCTGAATGTGTGTCAGGCAGTAGGAGTAAAAACCCTCTTGGAGAGGAGGTCAAGGAAGACTCAGTTCTTTATTCTTTGAGTGTTAGGAAGTTATCAGAGGTTTTTGATGAGGAATTATGTTTGAATAATGGTGCTGGAGAAGACTCTTGAGAGTCTCTTGGACTGCAAGGAGATCAAGTGAGCCAATCCTAAAGGAAACCAGTCCTGAATATTCATTGGAAGGACTGATGCTGAAGCTGAAACTCCAATACTTTGGCCTCCTGATATGAAGAGCTGACTCATTGGAAAAGACCCTGATGCTGGGAAAGATTGAAGATGGGAGGAGAAGAAGACAACAGAGGATGAGATGGTTGGGTGGCATCACTGACTCAATGGACATGAGTTTGAGTAGGCTCCGGGAGTTGGTGGTGGACAGGGAAGCCTAGTGTGCTGCAGTCAACGGGGTCACAAAGAGTCGGACACAACTGAGTGACTGAACTGACTGACTGAACTAAACTAGTTGGGCTTCCCTGGTGGCTCAACTGGTAAAGAATTCACCTGCAATGCAGGAGACCTGGGTTTGATCCCTGGGTTTGGGAAGATCCCCTGGAGAAGGGAATGGCTACCCACACCAGTATTCTGGCCTGGAGAATTCCATGAACTACAGTCCATGGGGTTGCATAGAGTCGGACACGACTGAGCAACTTTCACTTCACAACTAAACAAGTAGCTATTATGTGCCAACTGTACACTGCATGCTCTGCATAAATAATCTCCTCTAACGCAGTCCTCACAACACTGTGAGATAGTCATCATTCCCATTTTACAGGTAAAGAAACTGTGCCATAGAGGTTAAGTGAGTTGTCCAACATCACATAGCTAGAAAGAGAAGGAACAGATTTAAACCCAGACAGCCTAACCCAGAGCCCACGCTCTTAATCTCTTTACCTTGCTGCCTCTGAACTTCAATCCACACAATCTGAAAACTAAAATGAACCTATGAAATTCCCCATTTCTGCTTCACAGATGAGCAACTGAAGCTCAGAGATGGGGACTGACTTTCCTGAGACCACACAGTGAAGGAGGTGCTAGGCTGAAGTGGTCAGTCTCGGCTGCAGGAGGGGCTCCAGTTCCACGCATCCTGCTGTCACAGTAGGCATCGTTATGCTTGGAACAAAACCCAAACCTCTTGCCGTGGCCTACAAAGCCCTCATGCGATCAGAACCTTGCTGCTCTCTCTGACCTCACCTGCTCCCCCAACTTCTCCTTATCCACCAGATTCCAGCCCACCGGGAGGCGTATGTCTGCTGCTCTCCTGGCCAGCAATGCCTCTGCAGCTGATCTTCCTAGGGTTGGATTCTGTCTCAGCCCACTGGGGATGCCATAACAAAATATTACGGATTAAGTGGCCTGAAAACGACAGAAATTTGTTGGGAGCCTGAGAAGTTCAAGGTCAAGGCACTGAAAGGTCAAGACGCCAGCAGATGTGATGTCTGGTGAGAGCCCACTTCCTATGTCACAGACAACTACTCCTTGCTATGTCCTCATATGGTAGAGGGGGCCAGAGATGTCTCTGGAGCCTTTTTCCTAAGGGCACTAATTTCGTGTACGTCCTAATCAACTCCCAGAGATACCACTTTCAAATACCTGCACACTGAGGATTAGGTTTTAATGTAGTTCTGGGAGGATACATTCAATCTACAGTAGTTTCATTCTTGGCCATTCAGTGAAATGTCACCTCCTCAGAGAGGCCTTCTCTGATCACCTCTCTAAAGTTACCTCATATTACTCTCACATCATCCTACTTTATTTTTCCTGTCGGAGAGTGTTTTGCCTATGTTCTCCTCTAGGAGTTTTATAGTTTCTGGTCTTACATTTAGATCTTTAATCCATTTTGAGTTTATTTTTGTGTATGGTGTTAGAAAGTGTTCTAGTTTCATTCTTTTACAAGTGGTTGACCAGTTTTCCCAGCACCACTTGTTAAAGAGGTTGTCTTTTTTCCATTGTATATTCTTTCCTCCCATGGACAGATAAGCTGTCCATAGGTTTGCCTACTTTATTTTTTCTATAGCAGTTATGATGATCTGAAATTATGATCATTCTTTTTGTTTCTGTTGTCTTATTTTTATCTCTCTCTCTCCCAACTAATATTTAAGGTGCAGGAGGGCAAGGAGGAATGTCTTCTCTTTCTATAATGTCTCCCTGGGCAATGTCAGGCACATAGTAGGTGCTCCATAATTTTGTGTTGAAAGTATGCCTGCATTTCATCGTCTGTCGATTGATGGTCTGTCTCCCCACCAAAGAAGCTGGTAGAGAGTCTGATTCACCTTGGCACTCCTAGGCCCAGGGTTGGCACAGAGCAGGGCTGGGATGTGTTTGTTGGACGACTGAATGAACAAAAGATAGAAGAGGTGATGGCAGCAGCAACTGCTGGGCTCTTTGGGGTCTGCAACCCTCTCCCATGGGGTGGCCACAAACACTGCCAAAGGGCTGCTCTTTGTGGGAAGGAATATGGCTCAGTAATAGGACTGCTGATGAGACAGAGTGACTTCTAGGCTTGAGGCTAACAACTCCTGAAGCCCTTTCTTCTACATCCCTGCCATGGAGGTGAGACAGCAAGAAAGGAGGGGAAGGTGCAACCACACCAGGCCTAACCACCTTCAAGTCTGGCTCTTTTAGTGGCCAGTGCACTCAAAACTCATTGCCCAAAAAGGCTGTGCTGGTTGGGGCTTGCTTACCAGCAGGTAACTAAAATCTAGTCACCTGCACCCTGGAATGAGTGAAGTGGGGCTGAGGCTTTCCAGAGGAGGGGTCTTATTCATTCCAGCAGGGGTGGACAGCAGGGATGAGGCATCCCTTCTGGGGGGCCCCACAGTTTCTGCCTTTCACCATCACAGTGAAGACAACCCCATTGTCCCTGCCGGTCCCCCTGATTGTCTGCCCTTCTGCCTGGCCCAACAGGATGACCCAGTGAGAATGGATGAATCAAGTTTGTGCACCAGGCCCAGGCCACCTGCCTCTCATCCTTGGCCTCACAAACTGCATTCATATGAGAATGCAGCATGGTCACGTTAACCAGCTACAAGGATGTGTAATATCTGGGTGGGAGCCTTGCAGGAGTGCAGAGGTCCATTCATTCCTGCTCCCCCAGTTTCTCCCAGATCACATGAATCCTGGTACCCCTATCCACTACCATCTCTACTCCATGAGCACATTCACAGGCCTGTGCACCGGGGAACACCGTCTCCCCTCCCGCCCAGGTTCACTCCTTGGCATTCCTCAGCCTCCTATCAGCCTGTCACCTCCTCCAGGCAGGCTGTGCTGCTTCCCTTAGTCCATCTGCTACCTCTGGGGGTAGAGGTCTTGCCTGGCTCATCCCAGCGTCTGCAACGCCCAGCACGAGGGGGGCCCTGAGCAGGGTCACTGAGAGCGTACCAACAGAGAAGCTGACCAAGAGCTTGAGGGAGGAGGCAGAGGAGGCGTCAGCAGGAGGAGCGTGGGGCGGAGGCGGCGGCGGGAGGGAGCGCGCGCGCCGGCGGCAGCAGCCCAGGCCCGGGGCCGCGCGCCCAGCCTGAGCCCGCCCCGCCGCCGAGCGTCACGGAACCTGCTTGAAATGCAGCCGAGGAGCCGGGGCGGGAGGCAGCGGCGGCGGCGGCGGCGGGGGCAGCGGCAGCCCCGGCGCCGCGGCAAGGATTCGGTGGGCTGAGGCGAGGCGGCGGCACAGGGTGCGCGGGGCGCGGCGGCCGGAGCCCGGGGCCCGCGATGGGCCGCCCCGAGCGGGGCGCGCTCCGGCCGCTGGCGCTGCTGCTGCTGCTGCTGCAGCTTCAGCATCGCGCGGCGGCGGCAGCGGATCCACTGCGCGGCGGCCAAGGTGCGTGCGGCCGATGCCCGGCCCGGCTTTGAGCCGCTGGAGCGGCCAACAAAGCACTGCCCGGCGGCCGACGGGCGGGTTGCTCCGGGGTCCCTGAGCCTGGGCCAGGCAGGGGGGCGCCTGTGCAGGATATACTCCTGGGGACCCAGATTTCCGTTAATTTGCCCTCTACCCCCACCCTCGCGGCTCTCTTGTGTAGTGGGCTCTGCCCTCCGGCACCCGTTCTTGGGGGATGGGCGCCGTGGGGGCCAGGAACTTTGCTGGGTTGGTCACTGATGGTTTCGCGAGGGCTGTGTAATTCTTGCCATTGGGGTTAATTTGACACGCGCGCTCCGCGGCGGCGATGAGCAGAGCCGGGAGACTACCCCGGCTGACAATGCGTTTCCGGCGACCCCTGCGTGTTGCAGAGAAAGAGGGGCTGCGTGCGAGGGGGATGTGCCCACAGCGCCTAGTGCGCGTGTCGCGGCGTGTTCGGGGTGTTCCCTGTGGGCTGTATCTGCGTGGATCTCTCATTATGGGCCGTGTGAGTGTTCTTAATGGGGAGTGTATCTAAATGGTGTGACACCGTGTGTGTGCCTGGCCTCGTCGTGCCACAGAGCAGCCCGTCATCCCTGGAACCCTTATCATCCTGCCCTCCTTCCTGCTCGAGGGTGCCAGAGGCCTCCAAGGCTTTGGTTTCAGCGTCGCCCCCTTTCCTTCATTCAGTAGACCCCTCCCCGCGGCCAGGACCTCTGTGCTCTGGGGATCCGGCTCACGCCTCCTCTCCCCCGGTCCAGGGTCGGTCAAGGAGTGCGAAGAGAACCAGTTCCGGTGCCGAAACGAGCGCTGCATCCCCTCCGTGTGGAGGTGCGACGAGGACGACGACTGCTCCGATAACAGTGACGAGGACGACTGCCGTGAGTGGTTGGCCGGGGAAGGAGGGACCGGTGGGGGGACGCTTTACTCAGCGCCCACGTGGCTGCAGCCTCCGCCGGGCCACCTGCCTGGGCTTTTACTGCCGGAGGCTGCCGCCAGGAACCCGCCCAGGAGCCGCTTCCTTCTGGGCACTTAGGGACCCGGCCGGTTCCGGGCGGCCCGTGGGTCCCGCTGGGGCCGGAGCGGAACCTGGCACTGCGAGGCCGGGGAGGATGGTGCGCCACGCCCAGATTGCTGGGAAGGATCTGTAGTCGGCGAAGGGACAGCCCCTACACGCGTCTAGCTTTCTGCGATCCGGCCCTCCGGAACTCCAGCCTCGACACCACAGAACGCGCGGGTGTTTCAAAGTTCCACGCAACTCTGGGCCTAGCCTTGCTTCTTTTCCTGCCGCGTTGGTGAATGAATGGGCTCCCCGGGGCCCCTGATTGGCTGTGGGAGGACCACCCCATAGGTCTCTGTGGTCTGAGCGGGCCAATCGTGGGGCGGACGGGTGTGCTGTTTTCTGGCTCCCCGGGCGGTGGGGCCCGGCCCTGGCCCCGCCTTGGCCACACCCCCGCGCATCTCCTGGGTAGAAGGTGCAGGCCAGGCTCTGGCGCCCGCTGCTTTTCTGCCTAGTCACGGTGAAAACATTTCTTGTGCCATCCTGGTTGGCCGACTGCGGCCTCCTGCCAGCCAGGCCCAGGCGTGAGTCATGGCAGAGCAGGAAGAAGGGGGCCAGAAGGAAGAGTTTGTTTCCTGGACGGGGCGTGAGGATCCCAAGGCTGTGCGTGAACCGCGGGCTACATAAGGTGGCTGACCGCCTTTGCTGAGTGTGGCGTTCGCTGGCACCTGGGCGCAGCAGCTTTGGAAGTTCTTTCTTGAGGTGCACGCGGTTTCTGATGTCTGCGGAACCTGAAGCCAGTTAGCAAGCAGTTGTCACAGTGGAAGGAATGTAGTTCCAGGAACAGAAAAACAAGACTCTTTATAAACACAGACACAGGTAGTCATTCATCCATTACTGAGCGCCTGCCGTCTGCCAGACACTGGGGCACTTTGGAGAGCAGACCCCCCCCCCCCCCCCCACCCCAGGCCAGGGAGCACAGCTTCTGCGGGATGAGGGCAGCTGGCCCACAGCTCCACACAGTGGCAAGGAATAGAGGAACCACCTGGGCCGGCATTGTCTGTTGAATTCTAGTTTTTTTTTTCCTTCTTGGTTTGCCAGCCAGTCAGCCCCCAGGTTCATTCTCAGACCATCACTGACACAACTCGATGAACATGAGTCTGAGCAAGCTCCTGGAGTTGGTGATGGACAGGGAAGCCTGGCACGCTGCAGCCCTTGGGATTGCAGAGTTGGACATGACTGAGCGACCAAGCTGAACTGAACTGATCCCAGATTTGGCTGTGTGACATGGGTACATCTTTCTCTCCTGTCTGTTTCCTCTCCTGACCACTTGGGCTAATGATTCCTGCCCTGTTTTTGAGGACCAGTTCTAGAAATGTCATTTAAAGGGATGTGACTAATATGTGCTGACTGTTAGCTGTGTGTCCACCACTGTATCAAGTCCACCACTGTGTCTTATTTAAATTCCTTTAATCTTCAGAACAGTCCTATTTTACAGACCAAAAAAAAAAAAAAACCCTAAAACACACAAAAAAAGAGGCACTGGAGAGATTAAGTTACTTACCCCACAGCTATTGAGCTGCTAAGTAGGAGCTTAAATTTAAGCATCTGACTCCAGAGTTCTTATCCTAATTATGATCCTGACCATTTCCCAATGCTGTTGAAATTCTGAAAATGCCTGCTGCTGCTGCTGCTGCTGCTAAGTCACTTCAGTTGTGTCCGACTCTGTGCGACCCCACAGACGGCAGCCCTCCAGGCTCCACTGTCCCTGGGATTCTCCAGGCAAGAACACTGGAGTGGGTTGCCATTTCCTTCTCCAGTGCATGAAAGTGAAGTCACTCAGTCGTGTCCGACTCTTAGCGACCCCATGGACTGCAGCCTACCAGGCTCCTCCATCCATGGGATTTTCCAGGCAAGAGTACTGGAGTGGGTTGCCATCTGAAAATGCCCAGGCCAGGATAAAATATGACAGTGAGTCTCCTTGCTGGGAGTTGTTCTTCTGTGGTTCCTTTTAGTAGGAGTGCTGAGGATGAGGTGGGGAAATAGAAACTGCATTTCTGGGCTGGTTTTACTTATCTCCCTGAGTCTGCATAGCAACAGTTTTGTGAGGATGTCTGTGAAGAGCAAAAATGTTTCTTGTCATTCTCATTTGTTGATAAGAATTCTGGCTCAGAGAAGTTGAGTGATTTGCCAAGGTCACACAGCTGAGAGTGACAGAACTTGGTCAGGGTGTCCGCCTGCCTCCTAGCTCAGGGGCATTATCTGTGGTGGTGGTGGTGGGAGTGTGGTGAAGAAGGACCCAGGAGGGTGATCCCAGTTCTTCTCATCTCCATTCAAGGCTCTGGGCAAGATGAAAGAGTGAAGTAGCTGGTGGTGGGGAAAGGGCCAATCTGATGGCCACTCTGGTCTTTCATTCTGAGATGGCTGGGGTGGGGTCAGAGGTTAGTGAACAAAAGGGTTCACTTAGGGTTTTTTGTTATTGTTCACTAAGGGTTAGTGAACAAAAACAACTGACATTGAGGGCTTGGCTGTTAGTATTGAGGATTGATCCTACACACTGGACTTTTCCAGACTTGTTTCATCATCTGCCAAATGAGGGTAGCCATTCCTTTACCACAGGTTAGAAAGTCTTCACATGGGGCTGGTGAAGAGAAGGGAATGGATGCGTGTTCACACCACAAAGGTCTTTAGAAAGGGACTCCTAGGGGTCACAAAGAGAAATGGTGAAGAAAGGGTTGCAAGCTTCAGTGGCTGTATGGGGCCAGGTGTTAGAAAATGGTCTCTTGTCACCTCTCCCTTCCCCATCTGGGGAGTTCCCTCCATTCTGGGCCACCTGCCCAAACTGCATTACTTGGAACTCTCCTCCCTGCCTTATATTTAATCATTCCACCCCTTCCACCCTGTGAGAGGGCCTCAGCCACTGCACCTCAGTACCTCTTAGCTTGTAAACTGGGGATTGCAATTTGTAAGTGAAGTTTGTGTGTGGCAAAATGAATTCAAGCTCCCAAAGGGGCTAGAATGCTGTCCATGAATTCCGTGAGCTGATGGAGGTCAGGGAGAGGGAGCTTGTCTGTGGAGGAAGCCAAGGAAGGCTTTCTGGAGGAAGAGACAGCTGAGTCAGCCCTTGAAAGATGGTAGTTAATGCCATTCCCTCAAGCCTTGATGCCTTACTGGTGGCTCAGATGGTAAAGAATCTGCCGGCAATGCAGGAGACCTGGATTCAATCCCTGGGTCGGGAAGATCCCCTGGAGAAGAGAATGCTAACCCACTCCAGTATTCTTGCTTGGAGAATCCCATGGACAGAGGAGCCTGGCAGGCTACAGTCCATAGGATCGCAGAGTCAGACACAACTGAGCAACTAACACTTTCACTTTCATTAGGACTTAGCATTTAGAAATAGATGATATAGGCCCCCCATTATAGAAAAAGAACTGGAGTTCGGAGAGGTGACATAACACCCCCAAAGTCACACAGCTCCTCATGGTTGGAGCTGGAGCTCAAACTAAGACCTTCTAAATGCTGAAACTTAAGCCACAAAGGATGGGACTTGGCTTTTCGAATAGAGCTGGCAGGATGGGAAAGGGAAAGGCTCATGGGGCTTTAGTTCCCAGCTCAAAGGGCCTTCAAAGTGGAGGAAGGGGCTGGAAGCTCAGGGGCAGCCCAGCCAAGGGAAGGGGTGGGGTTCCTGGCTGCACCTGGGCCGCATAGACCAGCCGGCGTCTTGGCCTCAGTTTCCTGTTGCTCCTTAGTGTCTGGGGCAGAGACAGGGGTTTTGGTCTCCAGCCAGCCCTTTGCTCCCAGAGCAGCAACAGCAAGAACAGTGAACATTTACTGAGCCCTTGCTGTGGACCAGGAGCTGTGCTGGGATTCTACATGCATCACCTCATGCTCCTCGAGTCTACAAAACGGGGTGCCTCTATGAAGTCACCTGCATCATCCTTGTTTTACAAAGGCACAGGGGTTAAGGAACAGGCTCAAGGGTGTATGATTTTTCAGTAAACTGAAACTGCTGGGGTGTGAATGTAGGCACCCAACTATGGAACCTGTGCCACATCAAGTACTAGCTGGTGACCTCAGGCAAGTCCTCCCAGGCATCTTGAGGGGACATCAGCCTCTCCCTCACAACCCCTCCAGCTTGTCTGTGTGGATGGGCTGCGTAGACAGGTGTCCCAGTTGTATATTCAGTTTTCTCTACCTATTCAGGCTCTTTTAGGCTGCCCTGTTCTCCTTGCCTCCGTCACCCCTCCACTTCAAGTTTAATAAGCAGTGGCTGCAGTGAGGTCTCCCCTGGCTGGGAGTTCGTTAGCTGGGCGAGGCCTGGCTGCAGGAGTGCTGAGGCCTGATGGGCAGCGGCCTTGTAAGTAGTTAAAGCTTGGCCACCACTTCCGGCTGGGGCTGTACATTGCATCTAGTATTCGATGTGCCATCTGACCTCAGCCACTCTAACACCCCTGACACCAGGCCCAGCTTCGTGTCCTTTTTTGGATGGAGTCATCTGACAGACAGTGCTGCTCTCTGAACCTCGGTTTCCTCATCTGACCTGCCAGTTCCACCATTCAGAGTCCTCCTGAAGCTCCCATGTCCCCATAGCAAAAGGTCAGCCGAGACTCCTCTGCATGATGGGCCTCGGTGACCAGCTCCTGATGGCCATTGCCCTCCAGCCCCTTCCTGCTCTTCCTGTGAATGAACCTGTGACACCAGACTTCTGTCACGTTCTAGCTTTCCTGCCGCTTCTCATGGCTAGGCCTTTGCACATGCTATTCCATCTGTGTGAAACACTTTCTGCTCCCTCACCTGGCAACCTTCTTTTTGTCATCTTAGAATTGTTAGTGCAGGTTTCATCTCCTTCAGAAAGCCTTCCCTGCTACCGTCTCTCCCCAG